GCAACATAGAGTGCAGCTAGGAAAAGCTGTGCTAATTTCCAAGTTGTCCACGTGCTTTGAGAAGCAGACAGCTGAATTGGGCAGAGCAGTGCAAGACTGGTTCCACTAAAGCCCTCCATAACTCCAGGTCCCTACTCCTCATTGATACCCACCGCTTATCCACTCATGGACTGTGCTGGCCACATAGTGACAGCACTACACAAATGGCTAGCTTTAAAAAAAAAGAGAAAACAAAACAACAAAAAGCCCACCAAAAAAAATGCACAAAAAATCCCATGAAAACAGCAGTTTTTGAGAGCTTACACTAAGGCCAAAGAAGAATTAACCAGAAGCTCTGCAAAATAGTGCAGCTGGAAATGCTGAAGGTAGGGCCAAACTCTGATGCTGGAGCAAAAGCAAGGAGGAACAGGAAGGCAATTTGAAAGGCTCCTGCACTGGAGTGGAGTGTTTAATCTGCTGCAGGAAAGTGTTTTGGGCACTTTATTCTTGGCTGCTCCTTACCTTGGGCTTGAGGGAAAGCAGCAGATGTGGAATCCTTCCTCGAATGTCCGGGGTGACCTCTACCTCCAGCCAGCCCTTGATGACATTGTACTGTGGGGAAATCAAGCAGCCGCAGAAGACGACATGAGACTTAAGAGACACTTCATAGGTTTGAAGGCCACAGAGGACCATAATGATGCATGACAGGCCAGCAGGACCTCACCTAGAGCCTGCATCTAGTCCAATAATTTAAAGGCTTAGAGTTCTCTTTATATGTAACCTGATGGCAGGAGTGGAAAGAGAGAGGGGAAGAGGGGAAAAGCCTCCTTCCTTCCCTGTTCCTCAAGACAGGGCTTGCTGTTGGTAATTCTCTGCCAGAATCTACCTCACTAGGAAATTTAGGGGCCAGGAGAAACTGTGACCCAGACTGCCCTCGAGGTCCCTTCCAACACTACCATTCTACGATATGGTCCTTAGTGATATCTCGGGTATAAAAGGGGGTCTGCCCATTATTGCGGTGACTCAAGCAAATACACAGATTGGGGCCAATACTGAGCTTATTTATGTCAGGCATAGGGGGGATTCCCAAGGGACTCTGCCTTTAGTATAACAGGAGAGTGGATGCACACAGTGCTGGGGTTATTTGACCCCAGTAGTCTTTCCTGCCCAGAGCAGGGAGGCTGGACCTGATGATTTTGAGAGGTCCCTTCCAGCCCTAAACTTCTGTAAATGTGACCTTCTGGAACAGTGAATGGGAACCATCCCCTGGGGACTACCTGGAACCTCACACAGGATCAATGAGGCAAGCCTCACCACTCCTAGGACTGGAGCTGTTCTGTTCTTCCTCACTCCCTGCCACGTCTCCACAGCAGAGGGGTGAGGTTTGGATGCCCTGGCACAGCATTTACTGAGGAGCCAGATACTGCCAGATCACTAAGAAGAATAGTCAGGGAAGCACTGAGGTCCTGGAGGGGAGGGGAGTCGGGTGTCCAAGGAGAGTGGTCGCCCCTTAAGGAGATGATCCTCCAAGCCCAAAGGGAGGTAATCCCAACATGGATCAAAGGGAACACGAGGGCACACAAGCCCCCATGGCTCACCAAAAGCATCCGGGAATGTCTCCTAGCAAAAAGGGAGGCACACACCCAATGGAAGGGAGGTGCCATCACCAGGGAGGACTATACCGCGGCTGCTCGGGGAAGGGGGGGGTGGTCAGGAAGGCCAAGGCAAAGATGGGACTAGGACTAGCTTCCCGGATTAAGGACAACAAGAAGTCCTTTTTTAAATACATAGGGGGTAAAAAGAAGGTTCCAGGTAATGTGGGGCCCCTGCAGGACACGTTAGGAAATTTGGTCGTCACACCAGACGACAAAGCCAACATATTTAACGATTTTTTTGCCCTCCATTTTCCTAAGCAGGGACCAGAACAGTCACCCCCCCACTGAGCTCCCCTTAGATCCCAGGGGAGGTGCACCTAGGCCAAGGGTCAGGGAGGAACTAGTTAGGGAACTTCTGGAAGGACTGGATATATTCAAATCAGCTGGTCATTGCAGGACCCCTAGCACGGCTGTACGAGCACTCGTGGTGCTCTGGTGTGGTGCCACAGGACTGGAAGAGGGCCAGTGTGGTTCCCATCTTCAAAAAGGGGAGGAAAGAGGACCCAGGAAACTATAGGCCAGTTAGTCTTACCTCGATCCTGGGCAAGCTGTTTGAGAGAATTATTCTGGCACATGTCCACGAGGGGCCGGAGATTATGTTTAGGGGCAATCAACACGGGTTCATTAGAGGCAGGTCCTGTCAGACCAACCTGGGGGCCTTCTACGACCAGGTCACCAAATCCTTAGATGCAGGGGTAGCAGTGGACATAGTCTTCCTGGACTTCCGGAAGGC